TAAAGGGAACTACAAGCAACTCTAACAGTTAACCAAAGCCTTAAACTATCAACCTACTCAGACCCAGCACCCCGCTCAATCAAATGACCACCTACAATAAAGCAGGAAATAACCAGTTCAACCAAATCCCATACTGTAACCCCTTAACAAGTGCGCAGAAAGAGGAAATATGTGCCCTCTTAATTTTGTCGCCTCTTACGACAAGCCAGTAGGCTGGGGCCTATTCTCTAAGTCCCCGAAACCCCAGGGGCACTTACACAATAATATAGAGAGAAGAAAAGGAAGACAGACAAGAAAACTCTAATATTTAACCAAAGCCTTAAACTATCAACCTACAGGACCCAACCACCCTGGTCAAGACGATGACCAACTATAAAATAGGGCAAATCAATGAAAACACATCCCATTACCTAAACCCAATACCATGCCCTAACAGAGACCCACAACCCATATGCTAAACCCAACACCCCAGTCCCCCCTCCCCCTCCCAAAGAAGAACCAGGGACGAAAGTACACAATAGAAAACTCCCCCTTCCCTCGAAAAAAAACCCCCTTCCCCTGGACAGAAATGACCCCAAATCTAAACCCAAATCAGACCCCCCATTCCCAGTCAATGAAATGACTTTAACCAAAATAGGGGAGAAAGCCTTCCAGAGGGCAGACTTTGTAATACTGATCGTAAAATGCACACACCGCCTTAAAGTCCAGCCCCCTAGAAAAGGCAGGGCCTAAACTCTACCTAACAACTACCACCCACCACCCCACGCCACACGACAAGAGAGGACAGAGAAAACTCTGACCCCTCCCCAAAAACCTCCCTTCCTACAGAAACCTAATCCAATACCAATAAAGGGAACTACAAGCAACTCTAACTGTTAACCAAAGCCTTAAACTATCAACCTACTCAGACCCAGCACCCCGCTCAATCAAATGACCACCTACAATAAAGAGGGAAATAACTAGTTCAACCAAATCCCATACTGTAACCCCTTAACAAGTGCGCAGAAAGAGGAAATATGTGCCCTCTTAATTTTGTCGCCTCTTACGACAAGCCAGTAGGCTGGGGCCTATTCTCTAAGTCCCCGAAACCCCAGGGGCACTTACACAATAATATAGAGAGAAGAAAAGGAAGACAGACAAGAAAACTCTAATATTTAACCAAAGCCTTAAACTATCAACCTACAGGACCCAACCACCCTGGTCAAGACGATGACCAACTATAAAATAGGGCAAATCAATGAAAACACATCCCATTACCTAGACCCAATACCATGCCCTAACAGAGACCCACAACCCATATGCTAAACCCAACACCCCAGTCCCCCCTCCCCCTCCCAAAGAAGAACCAGGGACGAAAGTACACAATAGAAAACTCCCCCTTCCCTCGAAAAAAAACCCCCTTCCCCTGGACAGAAATGACCCCAAATCTAAACCCAAATCAGACCCCCCATTCCCAGTCAATGAAATGACTTTAACCAAAATAGGGGAGAAAGCCTTCCAGAGGGCAGACTTTGTAATACTGATCGTAAAATGCACACACCGCCTTAAAGTCCAGCCCCCTAGAAAAGGCAGGGCCTAAACTCTACCTAACAACTACCACCCACCACCCCACGCCACACGACAAGAGAGGACAGAGAAAACTCTGACCCCTCCCCAAAAACCTCCCTTCCTACAGAAACCTAATCCAATACCAATAAAGGGAACTACAAGCAACTCTAACTGTTAACCAAAGCCTTAAACTATCAACCTACTCAGACCCAGCACCCCGCTCAATCAAATGACCACCTACAATAAAGAGGGAAATAACTAGTTCAACCAAATCCCATACTGTAACCCCTTAACAAGTGCGCAGAAAGAGGAAATATGTGCCCTCTTAATTTTGTCGCCTCTTACGACAAGCCAGTAGGCTGGGGCCTATTCTCTAAGTCCCCGAAACCCCAGGGGCACTTACACAATAATATAGAGAGAAGAAAAGGAAGACAGACAAGAAAACTCTAATATTTAACCAAAGCCTTAAACTATCAACCTACAGGACCCAACCACCCTGGTCAAGACGATGACCAACTATAAAATAGGGCAAATCAATGAAAACACATCCCATTACCTAGACCCAATACCATGCCCTAACAGAGACCCACAACCCATATGCTAAACCCAACACCCCAGTCCCCCCTCCCCCTCCCAAAGAAGAACCAGGGACGAAAGTACACAATAGAAAACTCCCCCTTCCCTCGAAAAAAAAACCCCTTCCCCTGGACAGAAATGACCCCAAATCTAAACCCAAATCAGACCCCCCATTCCCAGTCAATGAAATGACTTTAACCAAAATAGGGGAGAAAGCCTTCCAGAGGGCAGACTTTGTAATACTGATCGTAAAATGCACACACCGCCTTAAAGTCCAGCCCCCTAGAAAAGGCAGGGCCTAAACTCTACCTAACAACTACCACCCACCACCCCACGCCACACGACAAGAGAGGACAGAGAAAACTCTGACCCCTCCCCAAAAACCTCCCTTCCTACAGAAACCTAATCCAATACCAATAAAGGGAACTACAAGCAACTCTAACAGTTAACCAAAGCCTTAAACTATCAACCTACTCAGACCCAGCACCCTGGTCAATCAAATGACCACCTACAATAAAGTGAGAAATAACTAGTTCAACCAAATCCCATACTGTAACCCCTTAACAAGTGCGCAGAAAGAGGAAATATGTGCCCTCGTAATTTTGTCGCCTCTTACGACAAGCCAGTAGGCTGGGGCCTATTCTCTAAGTCCCCGAAACCCCAGGGGCACTTACACAATAATATAGAGAGAAGAAAAGGAAGACAGACAAGAAAACTCCAATATTTAACCAAAGCCTTAAACTATCAACCTACAGGACCCAACCACCCTGGTCAAGACGATGACCAACTATAAAATAGGAAAAATCAATGAAAACACATCCCATTACGTAGACCCAATACCATGCCCTAACAGAGACCCACAACCCATATGCTAAACCCAACACCCCAGTCCCCCCCCCCCCCAAAGAAGAACCAGGGACGAAAGTACACAATAGAAAACTCCCCCTTCCCTCGAAAAAAAACCCCTTCCCCTGGAGAGAAATGACCCCAAATCTAAACCCAAATCAGACCCCCCATTCCCAGTCAATGAAATGACTTTAACCAAAATAGGGGAGAAAGCCTTCCAGAGGGCAGACTTTGTAATACTGATCGTAAAATGCACACACCGCCTTAAAGTCCAGCCCCCTAGAAAAGGCAGGGCCTAAACTCTACCTAACAACTACCACCCACCACCCCACGACAAGAGAGGACAGAGAAAACTCTGACCCCTCCCCAAAAACCTCCCTTCCTACAGAAACCTAATCGAATACCAATAAAGGGAACTACAAGCAACTCGTACAGTTAACCAAAGCCTTAAACTATCAACCTACTCAGACCCAGCACCCCGCTCAATCAAATGACCACCTACAATAAAGCGGGAAATAACTAGTTCAACCAAATCCCATACTGTAACCCCTTAACAAGTGCGCAGAAAGAGGAAATATGTGCCCTCTTAATTTTGTCGCCTCTTACGACAAGCCAGTAGGCTGGGGCCTATTCTCTAAGTCCCCGAAACCCCAGGGGCACTTACACAATAATATAGAGAGAAGAAAAGGAAGACAGACAAGAAAACTCTAATATTTAACCAAAGCCTTAAACTATCAACCTACAGGACCCAACCACCCTGGTCAAGACGATGACCAACTATAAAATAGGGGAAATCAATGAAAACACATCCCATTACCTAAACCCAATACCATGCCCTAACAGAGACCCACAACCCATATGCTAAACCCAACACCCCAGACCCCCCCCCCTCCCCAGGAAGAACCAGGGATGAAAGTACACAATAGAAAACTCCCCCTTCCCTCGAAAAAAAAAACCCTTCCCCTGGAGAGAAATGACCCCAAATCTAAACCCAAATCAGACCCCCCATTCCCAGTCAATGAAATGACTTTAACCAAAATAGGGGAGAAAGCCTTCCAGAGGGCAGACTTTGTAATACTGATTGTAAAATGCACACACCGCCTTAAAGTCCAGCCCCCTAGAAAAGGCAGGGCCTAAACTCTACCTAACAACTACCACCCACCACCCCACGCCACACGACAAGAGAGGACAGAGAAAACTCTGACCCCTCCCCAAAAACCTCCCTTCCTACAGAAACCTAATCCAATACCAATAAAGGGAACTACAAGCAACTCTAACAGTTAACCAAAACCTTAAACTATCAACCTACTCAGACCCAGCACCCCGGTCAATCAAATGACCACCTACAATAAAGAGGGAAATAACTAGTTCAACCAAATCCCAAACTGTAACCCCTTAACAAGTGCGCAGAAAGAGGAAATATGTGCCCTCTTAATTTTGTCGCCTCTTACGACAAGCCAGTAGGCTGGGGCCTATTCTCTAAGTCCCCGAAACCCCAGGGGCACTTACACAATAATATAGAGAGAAGAAAAGGAAGACAGACAAGAAAACTCTAATATTTAACCAAAGCCTTAAACTATCAACCTACAGGACCCAACCACCCTGGTCAAGACGATGACCAACTATAAAATAGGGCAAATCAATGAAAACACACCCTATAATGTAGCCCCAATTCTATGCCCTAACGAGGGCCCATAACCCATATGCTAAACCCTACCACCATACCAGGGACAAGATAACAAAACAGAGAACTCCCTAATCCCATCACCTCCCTGAAACACACCTTCCCCTGGATATCCATGAAAGTTTGGTTTAAGTAGGACTTATAGTTACTTTAGAATGGATTTGCTAACTTATCCAGAAAATATAGGCCAGATACAGCATCCCATGCAGGTCTTGTAGTTTCCATCTCTAGCTGTATCATCGAAGTTAAATCATAACAGACCATATAGTTACAAAACTACTCGAAAATATATATATAAAATAATTCGAATAAGTATGTCTTAACTTCATGTCTTTCTTCAGGTCTTTCCTTTCTAATAATCCTCTTTTTGAAGTCCATTCAATCAGGCACACATTTCTCTCCTCTTCCTCCACTACAAAAGATCAAATCCTTAACAATACATCCATGGGCCACATCGCTCACCTGAGCACTTTGGTTAGAGGGGGCAGAAATTCAGAGTTCAGAAAATATAAATGGCCCAACCCTACCCCCAGAGGATGACGATTTGAACAAACTTACTATGAAAAAGACAAAGAAAACGAACAATGATCAATCTAAAATAAGAGGCCCATAAGCCACATCACTCACCTGAGTACGTTGGCTAGGAAAAAGGGGAAATCAGTTAAGTTCTGAACAGTTTAAATAAATGGTCCAAAACAATCCAACTCTCAGGGGGGCATGGTTTGAACAAACTTCAATCTGCACTACCTGAGGATGATTTCATATAAATACGACTAATCATGGCTTTGCTGTTCTTGAGAAGAATTTTAAAGCAAAAATTTTTTTTTATATTCTTACGTAAAACTTTAATCGACAACACTGTTCATCAAAATCAAAAACTGATACAAAAAATTATGTATCTTAGTGTAGTCTACTTGTTTTCCAAGTTATATTGAAATCAGACAAAATAGTAGGAGAAGTAGTATTTTGAAAAATTGTTTACAGACGGAACAAACAGCTAGACAGATTGACAGAAGACGTACACCTTACTATTGCAAAAGCTCCTCTGGTCTCTGACCAGTTAAGTTGAAAATGGAGGAGGACCTATGGTGTCTGGAGCTTTACTTCACTGAATGCAATTGATGAAATAACCTCAAATTTACTATAGAAGAGACAATCAATTCAGTCTTGCCAATACTTCCATGGGAAGTGACTCCATTAAGTACAAAGTTTTAACATACCCGATGTAAAGTTTCTATGAGCTTAACAGAAATGAATATTTTAAAGTAGGTGTTCACTGCCAATCTACATGATCTATTAAAAGGATTGCTTTTCCTATTATTTTAACTCAATATTACAATTACAGTGAATAACAGAGTGAGGCCATTGCCAATGTGAAGCCCACTGAAAACAGTATCACGAAATCTTCGGTGTTGCATAGTGACTTTGAATTTTACAAGACTGTATAAAGTTTACTTAAAGACCAATTTGAAATAGTCTTGACTGGAATTAAAAACATAAAAATCTTGTACTTTTGAAAAGGGGATTTTTCAAATCAAATCAAAATGTATTACAAGTACTGTAGTAGAAATTTTTGGAAAGTCAGAATACACATACTTGCGAACTCACTGAAAAGGTGGTCAGGGAGACTCAGCATTGCAGCTATGGGAATCTGTGGAGCACCTGTTAAAAAATACATGGAGTGGTCAATCATCTTAAATATTCAAAACAAGAGGCCCAAGGGCCTTAGCGGTCACCTGAGTATAATACAACAATTTAAACAACAAAAGGATTCAAAGAGTATAAAATAAACCGATAGATAGAGCTTTGTTGCCCAAAAGCAAGAGAAACAGGATGATCAGGATCAAAGAAATAATTAATCTAGTATTCAATAACAACTCATAAAGTAAGTTCTAATCTGTCCCCCATTTATCACTATCACCAAGCACTAAACTATTAGTTTTAACCCCATATTATTGCCTCTCGCATTGGCCTCTCTTGGTCTTTGAAGAACATTTAATAAGATTAGTTATTTTTGTCTCATTTTTATTATCTATTATTTACAAGTCTACCTGATCTTTAAAACTAGGAAAGTACTTTTTGTATTATACAATAAAAATTCTTGCATAATTCTCTTATTCTGTTAACCTTTCAAATACATGTGCATTATTTACAGCGATTCAATATCAAGGTGAATGGCAAAGGGAAATAACTTCTCTCAGTAGAATACAAATTGATAGAGCCCTGGCCAGGACCAGAACACTTCATCAAATGGTCCAGATGTTCAAAAATCTGGTAAAAATACCCTTGCTAATTAAAACTTTTATGTCCAGGAGCAGAGAAGATTTTCAAAGAAATAATGCATTTTCATTACAGATTCAACACAGTCTAACCCTAATACCAGAACCCATGAGCCAGGGTTATGAATTTCACTAAGAAGATGGGTGTATTTGGCATGCAGGAATCATGTGTACGAAACATTTATAGTTTAAATGTCCACGATTTGCTCAACTAACCACAGACGGACAGACTTTACAAAGTTACGCACATACTGACATAGGAAAAAAGTTACACTTCGTTTGAAACATCTTGTCAAATTGTAATATTTATGTCCGCTAATCTTAATAATTATGATTGTAACACTTCACTTGAATAGGAAATACCTGTAAGATAACAGAGTATTATTAAATCCAAATACATGTGTATATCAAAGTTTCAGGAAGTTGGAAGAATTGTTTTCACTCTTGGTGCAACTCACAAAGTGCACCAAAATTTATCTAATTTAAAATTTTAATAAATCAGTACATAAAATTAAACTGAAAAGAGAATTGATTGATTGCATAAAAAAAAATAATTAAGCCCCATGCCAAGATCCAACCAAAAACTTAACAAGAGGCCCATGGGCCACAACGCTCACCTGAGTCAATATGGCCCTGCTGTTCTTTGTCAGCAGATTTCTTCTTCTATATATTCATACGTAAAGCTTTGATCAACTGTTCTAGGCATAACCTATCCCCAGTTGCCATGTTTTGAATGAAATTGAATCTAAACTTTCTGAGGATGCTTCTATATTCATATAACTAATCATGGTTTTGCTATTCTTGAAACGGAATTTTAAAAATGTCTGCCATCCTACCCTGGGGGGGGGGGGGGGGGGGGGGGGTTCAAGATTTGAACAAACTTGAATCTACACCACCTAAGGATGCTTCAATATCAATATGACTAATTATGGCTTTGTTGTTCTTGAGAAGAAGATTTTTTAAGATATTTCTTATATATATTCTTTTGTTAAACTTTGATCCCCGATTATGGCCCCACCCTACTACTGGAGGATGCCTTGAACAAACTTGAATCTACAATACTTGGGGATGCTTCAATATCAAAATGACTAATCACGGCTTTCCTGTTCTTGAAAAGATTTTTCCTATTTATTCCTATGTAAAACTTTGATCCCCCATTGTGGCCCCACCCTACCCCTGGGGGTCTTGATTTCGACAAATTTGAATCTACACTATCTAAGGATGATTCCATATCAATATGACTAATTGTGGCTTTGTTGTTCTTGAGAAGAAGATTTTTAAAGAATTTTCCTATATATTCCTATGTAAAACTTTGATCCCCCATTGTGGCCCCACCCTACCCCCGGGGGTCATGATTTGAACAAACTTGAATCTACATTACCTGAGGATGATTTCATATCAATATGACTAATTGTGGCTTTGTTGTTCTTGAGAAGAAGATTTTTAAAGAATTTTCCTATGTATTCCTATGTAAAACTTTGATCTCCTATTGTAGACCCACCCTACCCTCGGGGGTCATGATTTGAACAAACTTAAATCTACACTACTCTGAGGATGATTTCATATCAATATGATTAATTGTGGCTTTGTTGTTCTTGAGAAGAAGATTTTTAAAGAATTTTCCTATATATTCCTATGTAAAACTTTGATCCCCCATTGTGGCCCCACCCGACCCCCGGGGGTCATGATTTGAACAAACTTAAATCTACACTACCTGAGGATGATTTCATATCAATATGACTAATTGTGGCTTTGTTGTTCTTGAGAAGAAGATTTTTAAAGAATTTTCCTATGTATTCCTATGTAAAACTTTGATCCCCCATAGTGGCCCCACCCTACCCCCCGGGGTCATGATTTGAACAAACTTGAATCTACACTATGTAACGAAGGTTTCCCATAAGTTTCAACTTTTCTGGCCCTGTGGTTCTTGAGAAGAAGATTTTTAAAAGAAGACACCAAATTTTCACTTATTCTTAATTATCTCCCCTTGGAAGAGGGCATGGCCCTTCATTTGAACAAACTTGAACCCCCTTCACCCAAGGATGCTTTGTGGCAAGTTTGATTGAAATTGGCCCAGTGGTTCTGGAGAAGAAATCGAAAATGTGAAAAGTTTACAGACGGACAGACGGACTACGGACAAAATGTGATCAGAAAAGCTCACTTGAGCTTTCAGCTCAGGTGAGCTAACAATGTCCAGTGCGACAAGCAATGCATACTACTGAGCTATCCTCGCTACACAACATATCCGAATTTTAAAACGACAATGAAGCACTGCATTTACACCATTTTACAGGAAAACCCCAAATATATTTTTAGCTATCTAATAAGTCGAGTAGTCATGTAATTTTGAGTCAATTCAACAATTACATGTATGTATAATTTTAACAAATGAAACATTTCAGTGATCATGATTTAGTTTGAAACTGCTGCAATGGAGAAACAGAAGAATTAAGCTGTCAGACTTTTTCAATATTTCTATATCACAGGAATACATATTGACTAAGCACAAGTGGATACTGTGAGGGATAAAAACCAAAAGGTAGACACATGTATACAGTCATTTAGGGTATTCTGAATCACCCCGCATTTCGCGACTCTCGGTAATTTACCTTATTGCTGTATGTGACACAACACATGCACATTTGTTACAACTAGGGCTGTATCAATATATCGATACGTATCGATATTTAAGAATGTATCGTATCGAAAAAATAACTTCCAATACGTATCGGATAGGCAGATTTTCTCATAATTCGTGAAAAAGTTGGGAATTTCAATCACCAAAGGTTATATTTTCACTATTTTGAATTAAAATTGATCAATAATGATATAATCATTAAGGAGATAGCACACCTTAGATAAATATTATAATATACATAGACAACTTTATTTTAAGATGTTGTTTTATAGTCATTAAAAGTTTGAATTTGAAGTGTAATTTGTAGAGACAGTGAGACAAGACCTTCCAAATGGGTTATATAACAATTAGTTTTTATAAAATTCATGCATTTAATGATTTATAAGACTTTTTTGATAGACTTGTTAAAGAATCCAATATATCAGATATCGCATTATAAAATATTGCATCATATTGTATCGAATTTTTTTGTTCAATACACAACCCTAGTGACAACCAACCAGTCATTAACAGCATGGTTAAAGGACTTATTGCATGTTTCTAAATCATTTGAAATTAAAAGCGTATTACGTTCCATATGACCACAGTTTATAAATTCTGTGTTTTTACTGCAGATAAACCGCGGTAATTAACCAATTATTGACTCAAATAAAACCCCCTGAATTAAAAATCCAAGTTAATTAGATAGGAATCACGTGACCCTGTGACGTCAAAGGCGACAATGGCTGATCAGCTCTTCACACTAATCTTACTAAAATATACGCAATACAACCTGACTTTTCTACGTTCTGGAAGATCAAATCACTGATTTTATCGATGGGAAATTGACCAACCAACCTTATATGTTAGAATTGTCAGCAAGAAAAATTCTGAAAAATCTGTTAACATTGTAAAAATAGCAGCGACGATAGCGAGGGAGACGCCGCGAAGACGAAGAAACTTGCCATCACAATACAAGTTGATTTGTCAACTTATGGCATGTATTAACTTATTTGTTTCACAAATTTAACATTATATAACTTTGTTTTCTTCATTTTTAACATAATATTAATTAATGCAAGTATATCTTCGTGTGTTTTGTAAAGGAATGCGGTCTTGAAAAATAATTTCCCGATCACGAAACATTGCCGTAATCAGAGCTACAGATTCTAAATGTTTGGAATAAAAACAAAAATATCTCAAAACCCTTATACCTTAGAACTAGTTAATGTTTCTATAGTGATTGAAAAGCACATAAGGAATTAATTTTTTCAGCATTTTTCGTAATTTAGCTGCATTTGTCTTTGATAACTCCGTAAATAGTGTGCAACTTCTCATCCCTCCATCACTGAATTGTCGTCTATGACATCAGAGCAGTATTTTGTCAAAATCCGACTGAAATATGCATATTGCCGTATTTGAATTTCAACTCTCAATATCTCTTAAAATATGCTTTCAACAAAGTTATTTGTACTCAGTATTTTAATAAACAAGATTGTAGATAATATTTTTCATAAAATTGCAATTTTTGAAAGACCATGCGATAAGTTCTTTAATTCTTATTACATACAAAAAATAAAAAGGTAAACATACAGTGGACTCCGGATACAATGAGATGCTGGGGACATTGGTTTAGATCTCGTTATATCCGATATTCGTTATATCCGATGTCTGCATTTTACAAGCTGAGAGTTGATCGGTATTTGAATAAAGACTTACATGTATTATTAAGCATGTTCCCATGTGAAATAAAGTTCTTATTACAT